TTAAAGATCTACTAACTCTGTAATGTATTTCAAAAATACACATTACACCGTAAAAACTTGAAGTAGGGTAACCTTTTTTTCTAGACTCAAATAGTACTGAAAAGAAGAATTTTTTTTGTTTTAAATATTAAATACTTTGAACAATTTTTTCAATGCGTTAGTAACAGGTACTAATTGGAATGTCCACTTCATTATTCAAAATAAATTAAAACTTATGAAACAATGCCTCAAAAGTAGCGGATCATCCAAATTATGTTAGATATGAGTGAAATAACCTACAAACAATTTCTAACTAAGTATTACATAATTTATTAATACATTATTTCTACAAAAATGTTAAAGGTAAGAACCTAAAATTAGTAATTAACAATAAGACTACTATCTATCAAAATACAACTGCCTTAATCAAGAGTTAAACATATACTATAGAGGTAAACTACAAAAAAACTACAACATTTTAATACAGAGTGCGATTTTCAGAATGAGAAATATTATATCTTGATACGCTATTTTTCTTAATGGTTACAAAGAGAAGCAAAGTTAACAAACAAACAATTACGTACAAAGCAAATGTTACAAAATACAAAATTACTACGATATTATTATTATTATTGTCTACGTTGTTATCAGCTTTAAGAGCATGAACGGTATTAACAAAGCCAAAATCGTTTGTGCTGTTAGGACAAATCGATATATTTAATGAGATTTTATGTGTAATGTAGTTATTTAGTAACGAATTATTTAAATATGTGAAATATTTATAGAATAAGCTTTTTTCAAAATCCTTTCTAAAAAAGTTTAAAAACTTTGAATTTTCTAAAATATTATCTATTGTTGGCAAAAATTCTTTGAAATTCTGAAAAGAATCAGTTAAATTTAAATTTTGATTTTCATGTTTACAAGCAATTTGATGTATATTTTCGTTGTTTTTTGTTGTTCCGGGCAGTATCATAATATTCAAATTTTCCATATAAAGAACAATTTTTAGGAGTTTGGCACAATCCCATAAATTATTGTCCAGAGAGACAAGTGATAATTTGTCCAAAGCTTCAGTATTCAGATCTGTAAGTTTGTTGTTATCTAAATAGAGCTGCATGTCATCGTATTTCGATGAATGAAAGAAATTGAAATCATCAATCATATTAAAGGATAAATCCAAACGCTGTAATCTTGGTAAAACTTCAAAACATCCATACTGTATACTTTTTACTTGATTTTGGGATAAATTGAGATACATCAATGATGTCAGTTCATTAAAAATTCCATTTTGTAGAGTGTCTATTCGGTTATGATGTAAATCTAAATTGTTTAAATTCTTTAGATTGACAAAAACATCGTATTCCAGTTCTTGGAGCAAGTTAAAGCTTAAATTCAAAAACGTTAAGTTTACAGCACGACTAAAAATAGAATTATTTAAATAAAGTAAGCTGTTGTTACTTAGGTCCAAAGATTTAAGTACAGATGCTTCTAACGTTATGCTTACATTTTCTCCTGTGTGATTCATTAATTGCAACTTTGTTACCTCTTGCGAAATTTTGTCAAAACCAATATATCGCAAATTAATTTGAAGTAAAGAAAGTTCCACGTGATCTATAATTTTGAACGGATTATTAGAGATATCTAAAAATTGAAGCTTCCAAAGAGACTTAAATAGCCCTCTATGCAAAACTGAAATATTATTATAATTTAAAGATAAAATTATTAATTGACCTAAACCCACAAAAGCATACTCGTTAATGAAATGTATTCTATTTCGATCTAAATTTAACACTTTTAGCTGTATTAAAGAGTTAAACACACCTTCTGTTATGTTTGCCAAGTGATTACTTGGTAAGTGCAGTTCGCGTAATTCTGACAAAGCATTAAACCCTCCAGGTCGTATAATTTGCAAATTGGAGTTATTTAATGAAATATATCGTATATGACTCATTTTAGAAAAAAAGTTTGTTTTAATTACATTTAAAAATAACGCTTCAATAAACATCACATCGCAAAGTTGTTGTGAAAACAATACAGGATCCTCTTCAAAAATACTGGTAACATCATGATCATAAAAATGATCGAGATCTTTAGGCGAAACATTTGCTTCGCGTGTATATGAAAAAGTATTATAAAAACAAGTGCATACTCTTAAATCTGAATACTCATAACGACCTATTTCTGCAACGAATGGCACGTTATATCCCCATGTAAAATCACACTTAGCCTCACTGTAGGGTAAAAAGTAGCTCACCATCAGTAATACTCTCACGTATTTTACAAACATTGTTCGGATTGTTACCTGAAAAAAAGTTATAATTACTAATAATCTTATATTTAAACAATATTGAGTTAAAGTAACAATGAGTTGGTAGCAAACTTATAAAAATGTATAGCTCAGCTAAATCATGCTGATTTATCAAAACTTAATAGTTTGCTGTTTAGCCATTCCTTTCCACAAATTAAATATAGAATACGTAAATACAGCTTAAAATACACATAAAAGTAATACTATATTAAAAAAAAAAAAGAAAAAATACGTATGCGCAACATATGACAATATTTTTAGAAAATCTTAAAGATCGTTACTTCTGCATTTTTTAAGTTTGAACGATACGCAGGATTTCACACTCTGTATAACTAGTTTTTAATATAAAATATATAATGAAAGAAGATAGTTTCAAAATTACATTCTACATTTAACACGACTGTGTAAATTAATATTTCTTATAGTTTAAATCTTTGCGTGGCAGGAATAGTGCAAATAGTGACAGAATAATAAATACTTTGTTACTTACTTTTCCGTTGTTTAACAAATTACAAGTTTTAATTTCAAATCAAAACTACTTATTTATAATATTGGTTGTTAAATAAAATTTGTTTTCATTATTGTCAGAGAGTATTATTCCAGAACGTTATTCCCACTGTACTAAAACTGCTTATTAATTTAATTTTATCTATATGGGTTTTTAGTTGATGCAGCTGGTTATTTCAACTGTAAGCAGCAAATATTTATAGTGTGACAGAAATCATTTTGATTCGAAGTTGGCTTTGATGTGCGTTTTATATTTGGTATCACTGATTTTTAAACCATAAAAATATGGGCAACGAAACACAACGGTGACATTACATTTCTAAGTAAAATATAAAATAAATTGTTAAATATATTTTTTCAACCATTATTTTAAGACATTCTTACAAATCCCTGTTATGTTATTTTGGTATACGTTAATTTGCAATTCGAAAAATTTTATTTCCTCTTTGAGATCACTAATAACAAAGTCAGTAGTCTCCCGCAAACAATTTAATATTATAATCAATCAGAAATACATTATACGAAGTCTTTGTACCTTATTTTAAAATTTAAGTATGTAAGTACGTAGCACGGGGATCTTATGACTTTTTTTCATCACAATGGATCTTCCCTGTTTAACTGATTTGAATTCTAGCTGTTTGAAAGTAATCTACAAAGTTCTTATGTGTACTTCCGCTAACGTAATGTGTTGAAAGTGTTTGAAATGTATACGTCGTAGGCGCGTAATAAAGATTTAGAGCATTAACTTATTATAATTTATTTATTCATCCCCTCTAAAAATTTATGACGTCATTTCGAAACACTATTGAGTGAATTTCAGTTGAAATATGCAACCGGACACCTTTAACCTAATAACCCGGTTCCTTTCTGAATTTATCGTATGAGGATTGTTAAAAAAAAGGTTTCACGTGCTCATAAAATGTAAATCTCAGGTTCCAAAAGATTTAAGTATGATTCGGTTTATTTCATATTATTCTTAGAAACGATGAATCTAAAATTACCATCCTAATTATATATATTATTATAATTAGTGAAATCTGATGGAGCTGTCTAAAAATATTGAATTACTCTATCTTGAGATCTGGGGGTACGTTTCAAGTGCCAAAATTTAATACAAATAATATACAAAATAAAAACCTTATAATATTTCGGAAATAAATAGAATTTCTACAATAAAAAAATTAACAGTTAGTCAAAGTTTTGCAAAACAGCTTATATAAACAACTGCAAAAGCAGCGAAGGTAGACGCCACAAATTATTATTGGAAAGTTAGTACATAGTGGCGCACGGAGGAAATAATGTTCTGTATAATAAAGTATAATAAAGTTCAGAATAAAAACTCTAATATTTTGAGTTTTATATTTTCATGGTTCATTCCTAATTTTTGACGTTTAGATTTTGTAAAAATTTAAGCTAGCAAGCAAGCAAAGATACCTAAACTTACCTGCTAACAGTGCCAAACTTTTTTCTAATAGCAAGTCACATATTTTTGTGTTGGCTAAAAATGTTGCAGAAACTTAGCTTAGGTAACTATATTCACTAAAACACTACTTACCTATTGAGTCATATATAAAATTAATGGGGGTATAACACAGGAAATAACAACAAATTCTCTTACACTTTTCTAAAAGTTTCAAACTATAGACATACCGCGAGATCGAAAAAAAATTAGTCAAAGTTGGCTATGTACGACAAGCCGTTTGTAGTAATTTAAATTTGTTTATTAAATGTCAAATTGACAGTTTAAAATTAGAATTATGACACCTATTTTTAAAACACAAAAAAAATTAATCAAAAACACCGTTTTCCAATTTTGTCCCATTTCTGAAGTAAGATTCTAACAAAAAAGCTTTAATTTCGTTTAATAACATTGCAAATTACATTTGTCAACGTGACGTTTAAGAAAAATTATTTTAAACTAAGAGAAACGGCTTTTCGTGCATGGTCAACTTGGACTAATTTCTTTATCAGTGTCTCTGTACTTACACGATCAGATTTAGCTCTAATCGTTTGATGCTATAGTTTAATTTGGGTTTTGTAAAGGCAGGCAGACCCAAGAAATATTTACAGTGCGCAAACTAACTTTATGTTCTAACATTGAGCGTGGCCGGATCTTTTCGAACCTCGTGAGTCACTCTCTTCTACGTGACGTTATAACCAGAGAAAACAAAAATATTGTATCAGTTTAATGTGAATTTTGTTGTAGTTAACAGGAAAATGGTTAAAGTAATACATAAAAATCATTATATCGCATCTCCAAGACATAGTGTGTCACCAACGCCTATCCATTCCAGAGAGATAACTTACTCAGATGGAGAAGAAAGCCAAAGAGCACCTTCAGAAAGAACACTTTCTGAATATACTTCAGTGGTAAGTATCTAATTTCAAAATTGTTATATAGTCGAAAATAAATTGTTTTGACAGGAAAAGTTATCGGAATACAACTTCTCATATTTTCATCTAGTTCATCATTTAATTTTAATCATAATTCTAAAAATTTAACAAGCATGTATACAGAATATTGGAAAACGTGCTGCACTCATAATGTATTTGTTAACGTTATCGACTAAAAAATAGTTGCTGCCAGGATAGAAATCTCGGTAATAAAATATCTAATACAAATACCTACATTTTCATAAAAAAATCTCGATGGTGATAATAGCGATTGTTGTAAAATTTAATAATTAATAAAGATCATCCCGTTTCGTGTCTATTACGAAGTTTCAAGTTTTTATAATCAAGATAATTAATAAACTACCGTATTAAAATCAGCTATAGATTTTATAGTATTATAGTACATGCCATATTAATGAAGTTATAAGTTACCTCAGTTTTGTTTAAACATATATTTGTTATGTTTGACAGCCATACACCATAGTAAATGAAAGAAATGGTCGCAGTAAATATCATGGTGGTGTTACTACTCATCCACCTCGGGCTGCTTCTGTCCTAAGTCGAGGAAGTGGATACGATAATGGATCAGATATTTATGTTACAAGTGGGGCTTATAAGGCACCGTCAGAAATTAGGTAAGACATTTCAAAAACTAAATAACTCAAATAGTAATATTATTAACAAAATTAATTCTTTGGACTGTACTTGTCTGAAATGCATGTACCTTAACTTTATTTTTAACTCAAGGTAAAAAATGCTTGTATTCACAACAATAAGACATTGTACTCTGCGTAATGAATCATATGCTTTTAGTTCTGTTTGTAATTATACTCGTACGATAACATTAATAGTTTTGTAAATAGTAGGTATTCCTCATCAAATTGAATGGCACAATGGATGTATCAGTAAAGATTATCCCAGGTCTTTATCCTAGGATATATGTATATTAGCCCATTTACTATTTTTGTAGTTTGTTAATGTTAAAATAGTATAAAAATAACATGCACTGAACATCCCACATTATGTTACGTCCTACGCTTACGTAAACTTTTACTTTCATTCCGTTAATTTGTTTTTTAAACAGGAAAGTAAGTTATTTAAATTCATGTAAATTATAACAGCATTTAATTACAACAGGTCTCGATAAAAGTAGTTTTCAGCACAAATAAAATATAACTTTACGCCCATTCTCCGCATGAATTTAATATTTTGGTTTTTCTTTTATTAAAACCCTTTCTTGGTGACTTGCGTAGCACACCATTCTAATGTTTACTTACAAGTAGATTCACTTTTTATTTACAGTGCCACTCCTTAAATATGCATGTCAATATTCGTTTCCTCTTTGCTGCAAGTCCAGGTTGTTTTGTTTTCACAGCCAAGGAAAGAGAAAGAGAAAACGTATCTTCGAAACGTTATACAATTAGAATCATTCAGGTTAAAAAAATTGAAAATTATTTACCAATCGTTGATTGTTTTAATACTGATATCTGTGGCTGGACGATACGTATAACCTTTGATACACAAAATAGCAAACAAAAAAAAAATTACTTTGTTTAATAAACATATATAAATGCTGTTTTGAACAATGTTATATATTTCATATTTTTGTAGTCGTAGTTCCCGAGCACCAGCACCAAGTCACTACTCGTATCGAAGTGGAGCAGCGCCTTCTTTAACGAGTACCGTGAAAACACGTACTTCCAGGAAAGCAGGCGCTAAGATGGAAGCTATGGCAGCACCAAACCCTTTTTGTCCAAACATCAAAGGAATGTGTTGTCTTATGCTATTATTAAATCTAGGAATAATTTTGGTTACTCTCGGATTTGTCATCGTAATACAATTTTTTGAACCTGTTTATGTATGGTAAGATAACGTGGTATTTTTTAAAGAAAAGTTGATATTAAACTTATTGGTATGTTTTAGGGTACTTGGTATCGTTTTTCTTATTTTCGGTTTCCTTACGTTAATTGGCAGTCTTATATACTGCGTTGTTATTTGTAAGGACGTGAAATCCCCGAAAGATGTAAACCCAGAAAATCTTTATTGGACTCACCATTGGCAGAAAACAATCGGCTCTCCGGAAATTCACTACAAAACAGAAGAAAAATATGCTGATGACAGATATAGCGACAGATACTCGATAAGTAAAATGTCTGGAAAGTATTCAGATAGAAACAGCAGATATTAATTTAAAGTATATTCTAAATACCAGTGAGGGATGCTTCAATTTTTAACACTTTGATAGAGCAAGATATTTTTTCTAACGTATGTGTTTATGAAATGTAACAATAATTAACAATCAGCCCACTTCGTTCCCAGTTTGTTTAAAATAATGTCATATTAACAACAACATCTATACATGAAGTTCGGAAATATTTATATCTATTTATTTTTAAAATCTTGCTTTAATTTTTCAATTTTGTAAATTATTTTGAACAGTGTCGTACTGTCATTCAAAAAAAAAAAATGTGGGTACCTAGATGTACTCATCATTTTTACATTTTATGGAATGACAAGTTCCATATGCCAAGAAAGATATAAGATTTTTTTTCTCATGAGATATTACTTGATCATATCCAGTCATGTGAAAAAATAAGAACAAAATAACATTTTTAAGAAATACAATTAACCATGTTTATTCTAAAATAAACAGTTCTCTAAATAGTTGTTTTTTTCTTTTGTAGGGCTATTGATAAAATAAAAACAAAACTGTAACAGTTTTGATTTATAGTTCAGTCAACCCGCGTAAAAATGGGCAACGGTGCATTTTGAGTAGACAACGTTTTTTTATTGGGTTTCGCAGAGGGGTCGGCCGTGATTGCAAAACTGGGTTTGAAAATGAAGGTGCAATTGGTTTTTTGTTTTATCCCCGTTACCGCAAGCTTGACAAAAATGTTTAAAGTACATCCTTGTAAATAATACAATTATCTATAACTTTTATTAACAACTAGGAAATAAAAATACTTAGGGAGAGATATCTCTTGTATTCGCAATTCTACAAAAAAATGCTTCATAGCATTTTTAAAGATAATTTTCTAATAAACAATTTAAACCCAATCTTTTATGTGGTTTATTTTTACTAATTATTATTACCATTGTTGTCAAGAAGATAAGTTTTATAATTTTTTTTGAGGTCCTGGGTAGGTTTGGTAGCATCGTGCTTGCCCACTACACCTTGGGTCGTGGGTTCGATTACCGCCCTGCTCTGGGTATTGTATATGTCCCCCGTTCCCCTGTAATTGGGCCTCCGGCCTGTAGGGGAACGTAATTCAATAAAATAAAAAATAAAAATCGTGCAGAAAACTGAGTCTGTCAAATGCACTGCATATAAATAATGGTAATATTTGAAATTCTTCTATAGCAAAATTTTGAATGAAGCAAATTTAAAATTTATAAAAAAATGTGAAAGTTTCGCTTTTCTTCTCGGGAATCACATCTTTTTCTACATTCTGAATCTTAAATTTTTTGGAAACAATCTAGAAGTCCCGAAATAAATATGTTTTATACAAACTGTAATTTCAAACCATAAAAATCTCTAAATAAATTACGAAATTAAGTTAATATCACAGTACAAAAAAAATTTAATCAGATAACTACGTATTTTTACAGTAGGTAAAATTTTATATTATACATGTTTCAATATAAGTAGATTACGTAATGTTACAAAAGTACAAATTCCAAAATTAGAGATTAGAAGTAACGCATCCCCCGTAGAATTTCATCCAGGACCTTTTCATAAGGGAAAAAAGTGTACAGTAGAAGTAGTATGGAACCTACGTCTTTCCCTTGCTGGGCGGTTATTTTACCAATTAAACTATCCGACTTTTCATTGTCCGCGTTGGATTTTGTTCGAGAGTATGTTTTCCACGATAGTTCTTTTCTTTAATTTCTTGTTTCACTTCTTATTCCACCATGTTTTCTCGTTTGTTTTGAGACCGACTTCTCTTGTATTATTTTTTATTACCTCTTTGAAGGTTGCATTGTTTTTTTAGAGAATTCCCAAGCATTTTACAATTTGATAGGCGAGACGAGTGTGTTTTGATGTTAATACCTAATAATAATTTCTTAAATAGTGAAAATAATTGTTGAACAGGTGGATTGTTGAAACTCTGTTCTATATGGATCGCTAACGTCTAAATCTATTGAAATCAATGTAATGTAATATAGGAGAGAATTGCGTAATTTGAACCGCCTCCTAATTTAGACCCAAGTTATTTTAGTTAATTGGGCATATATAAGTAGTACTGTTGGTATGGAACGAAAGCTTTAGTTGTAAGTCAACTATTGAATTAGTAAAATTGAAGAATACTGTCTGAACATAGGGTAACATTATTCATTCACTATTCATTCACTCATCATTCGGAACTCAGTCAGACTCTATATTCACTCTGTGGACCTAACGGTCATATTCTATTCTTATTCAAGAACACACTTGTTATTTGTTAATAAAACTTATAAAACGACTGTCCGCTGTTCTAATTCATAATCATCAAACTTAACACTGTCTTCATTATTGTAAAAAAAATACATTTCTCCACTTCATGATGCTATACATAGTTTGTTTGTGAAGTGATAACTTCTTGTATTTGTAAGGTAGGTAAGTACTTTTGAATTTTTCTACATAATGTTTAGAGTATTTTAAAGTATATCTTACTATAAAATAACGCTGAAGTAGAAATCATATGAGCAGTAACAAAAGATCCATATGCAAATGAACGGACAATTGCAAGAAATGTGGGAATTTTGTGATTTTGTGTGCCAATAAATTCTACCCATACCACATTCCGTTACTGCAAGAGTTAAAAGAGACTAATTACCCTAAAAGGCTTCAGTTGTATGCCTTTTTCCGTGAGTGTCTGAGAATTAATCCCAATTTTTTAAAATTTGTTTTATTCAGTGACGAGGCTAACTTCATTAATAATGGTGGCGTTAACAAGCACAATCTTCATTATTACGCTTATGAAAATCTTCGATGGATTCGTATGGGGCATTTCCAAAACGTCATTTCGACGAACGTTTGGTGTGGAATCATTGGAAATAGAATTAGTGGGCCTTATTTTTTTCGTGGAACATTAACTGGTGTACGCTATTTACAATTTATCCGATATATCTTACCAGAATTGTTAGAGGAGTTGAAAATTGACACAAGACGTCAGATGTGGCTTCAGCAAGATGGAGCTCCATGCTATTTTCATCGCATTGTGCGCAACTATCTTAACGATAAGTTTGAAGATAGGTGAATTGGTAGAGGCGCAGAACATCCCCCTCCTAGCCCTGACATGACCCCGCTGGACTATATATGTTTATGAGACCCGTATCGAAAACTTAAATATTACACCTGAACCCCTAATATTCTGAGACCGGTTCGGAAATCTTTCTTGAACCGACTAGGAGTTTGTGCAAGAAGCGGTGGTGCACACTTTGAGTATTTATTGCATTAGTTTTGTTATTCTATTATTGTTTTTCTGTACTAAAATGTATTTTGACATTTCTGAAAATTGGATAACTTCGATATTAAAAAAATATTTAAATAAATAATTCACGAGGTAGCCTGTGAAAATGTATTTTGGATTGCATAAACACAACTATTACCACAGTATAGACATCAATCAGTAGGGACAACTCGTCTCGGCGCCTTTGATCTTTCTGACCCGAATTTTAAGCCGTCATCGGTGGTCGTTTCCCAAAATATTTCTAGATGTCCCCACCCAATTTCAAAAGGATCACAAACGCTTCATTTTAAAATTGATTCGTGTACACAATTTACTACACTTTGTGCAAATGAATTTTTGGAAAAGACTTAAAAATAGTGTAATAACAATAACATTTTGTAACTAGTTGATCTTAGAAACCCCACAGTCTGTTATAATAAATAATTAATTAAGCGCCCTATAATAGAGATGCCGTGTTGAAATTTAGATGTGGCCCGATTCTCTAATAACGATTTTACGCTTCATTAATTTCTTTTTCATGATGGTTGTAAATGGTTGTAAAATTCAACGTTATTAGAAAACGCTAATATACAGGGTTAGTCACGAGAGAATTACTTCTGAAAATTATTTTTACGCAACCCAAAATACGAATACCATGTACCATTTGATACTAACTGAATTTAAAATGAAATGCTTAATCCATGATTGCTTTGAGTTTGGCAATCTCATTTTGACAATTGTGGAAAAGGAGGTTACGCGAGTCTCCATGGTGGTACCGCAGCCAGTCGGAAATCTCCTCCGGCGCCGCTAATAAATTTGTCAGTGTGCCTCTTGATCTTTTGCAACCGATTAATCACGAGAAAATTATTTCTAAAAATTCCTTTTACGGCATTTTATTCAAAGGTTACAACACAAACTCAAACAAGTAAGTAAATAATTTAACTACTAATCTGTTGAAAATATTGGGCATTTTGGGGGGATGCTACGGCTTTTTTGTAAATGGATGGCCGAAGAAGTCCAGAGGTTGCAGATTTGCAATTCGAAGAGGCTCTAGGTGACGCAGAGATGGCAAATTAACACATGCACATTAGCGGCGAACAACATTGGCACTTACGGCTTCAGTATAGCCCAGATTGATCTGATTGTATATCGTCGATCCAATGGGGCTCTAGAGGCGAGTCAACGATGAAAAAAAATGTTAAAAATTAATTAACGTCAAAGTGACACTGCCAAAGTCAAAGCAATCATGGATTAGGCATTTCATTTTAAATTCAGATAATATCAAGTAGTAGAGGGTATTAGTATTTTGGGTTGCGTAAAAATAATTTTCAGAAGTAATTCTCTCGTGACTAACCCTGTATATATACATTTAATTCTTTACAAAAAAATTAAACAGTAAACAATGGTCCTATGAAAACGTGAACAACGCTTTTTAAAATGTCTGCGAAAATTACACTTAACTGCAATAATTACACCGGAAGATCAGCCTTAAATCATCAAAACCAATGCAACTAAACTGCCAAATTTCAAATATTTCACATTAAAGTCACTTACTAGATAATCAAAGTACCGCAGTTCAATGTCCCAATGTGTAAGAAAGAGAAGTACCTTGCGTTGCGCGCCCTCATACGGTCACAAGACAAACGACCACCTATGAAAACGGGTCAGTAAAAGTAGCGAGTTGTCTCTACTGATTGATATCTATACTGTGCTATTACAGCGGCAGCTATTCGTGAATCACCCTGTATAATGTGTCCATAACTTGTAAGATAAATCTTATCATCTTTTTCTACATTTTAGGGAAATTTAGGTCCATACCTTAATTATTTATGAAAATTTCGGTAAGCGCCACTGTTTTCAGCTTACAAAACTATAAAACTGTTTCTTCTTTTTTTCACTCACAAAAACGGTCGACAATGTTTTTCCTAGGATTTATATAGTTTTGTGAACTAAAAACAGTGGTATAAACCGCGTTTCAAAGTTTCCGTAAAAAATGGAGACTTGATTTTTAAAGATGTGATGCAAAATTTTTACTAAAAAAACAATAAGTCTGTTAATAATAGAGATATTGCATTCTGAAAATGTTCTGAGAGTGTCCAAAAGAGGAAAGTAGGGGCGTTGGACTGAGTGCCAAAGAAGATTTGCAGTGCCTAGAGCGACTTTAAAGAGACACTTAAACCACGAAAATAAAGTAGCCAACAATACCAAGAAAGTCATGGGACGTTTACCAAAAATCAAGAAGAAGAATTATAGCAAAAATTATCTTCTACAACTTGAAGAGAACCTGTACGGTTTAACTATTGCAGATGTCAGGAAGCTGACTTTCGAATGGGCGAATAAAAATAAAGTTCCCCACTGTTTTAACCGTGAAAAAAATGGTTGACAAAAATAGTTTTATAGATTTATGAAAAGGAATCCCAAACTATCCTTACGCCATGGAATTTTTTTATATTTTAGAGCAACTTGTGGATAAATACAAAATTAGATCGAACACGATTTTCAACGTAGATGAATCAGGTTATAGTACGGTTCAAACAAGAAAACAAAAAATCATTGCCAAACGCGGTAAAAGACAGGTTTGGGGAATCACTAGTGGCGAAAGAGGAGTACTTATTACGGTAGTGTGCTGCGTAAAAGCAGCAGGCTTTTACATTCCACCGATGATCATTTTTAAAAGATAGCGACGTGCTCCAGAACTAGGAATTGGAGCTCCTCCAGGTAGTATTTGCGAAATTTCTGACAGTGGATCTATTAATTCTAAACTTTTTGTTGTGTGGTTAAAACACTTTCATTCATTAGTTAAATCCGGTATTGAGCAACCCGTCTTGTTTTTATTAGATGGACGTTGTACGCACGGCAAAAATTTAGAAGCTTTGCAATTTGCAAAAGAAAATAATATCCATTTGCTTTAGTTGCCAGGTCATACTATCCATCGACTTCAGTCTTTAGATGTTGCTTTCTTTAAACCCTTGCAGAATTATTATCTGCAAGCCCAAGAATCATGGATGCGTGCTAATTCTGAAACTCCGATATCTGTTTATAATGTAGCAGCATTGATAGGAAAAGCATACGGTCGTGCAGCTACTGTTGGAACTGGAATTTGACCAGTAAACCGTCATAAATTCCAAGATCATGACTTTGCACCGTCGCTATTGTACAGTCTGACGCAGCGGAAGGCACAGAGTCTCCCACAGCAATTTTATCCCCACCAGTTGATTGTATGGTATGGTCACTTCTTTCCCTGACCAACAACAAAATCGCTCCTTACTTAGCTTACCCTTTCCATCAACTAGCCACGTTAGAGATCCTAGTGTATCTCCTATTTAACCAAACATTCGTCAGAAGTATTTATTACATTCCCCAGTTGATCATAGGGTCACTCTTACTCCAGGTCAACAACAAAGCTGCTCTTAGTTCACCTTTTCGATCAACTAGTTGTGCCAAAAATATGAGCGAATCTCTGATTCCATCTTGCAGAAGACATTCCTCGCCCCTTAAGTCAATAAAAAAAACAGTTCATTTGTACGAGATTTCGCCATTGCCGACCGGAGGCAAAAAGACAATTATGTGAACGACAAGGCAAAGCATCCCAATCTGCCATGGAATTAACAATAAGCACACCATAATAAAGAAAAACTAGCGCAGAAAAAAAAATTAATAAAACAGAAAAAAATGCAAGTCGCGGGAAAAAATATGATAAGAGATTTATTTGCAAAAAAAAAGATAAGGTAACAATAAAAAAAAATAAGCAAAACCCGTCTCGACACCTCATACAAGCTCCGCAGAAAACACAGAAAGTGCCTGTACTGTGGAGGTGGAGACACCTCAAAAGGTCACGTAGTGGAGAGGGATGAGTTTGCTGTTGCCGCTGTTCTAAGTGGGCTCATGAAGAATGCGCCGGTATTGGAGAGGAAGATAATTTTGTGTGCGAACTTTACTCGTCAGTATGAATTCAAACGATTATTCAAATTAGGATCATTGCGGTTCAATTTAGGATACCGGTGTCTTAAATTGGACCATTTATGTCAGATTTTCTTTTTTTATTTTTAATACAAAAACATGGTTTATTTTACCTTTTCATAGTATTTGTTAAAAGTCTGTAAAACAAAGACTATAGATTTTCTGTTACCTTTTTTTAATAAAAAATGACAATTATAATGCAGATTTTGTGCAAACAGTCCAACTTACGCAACTCTCCCATTATAAAGTCCGGATTTTTTTTCAGCTATTGTTTTTGCCATTTCTATTGAAACACCACCTGTTGACTTTGTTTAAATTTAGCAATTGCTAACAGCTTTCGGTTGATTGACAACGGCTTTTAGTTAGAAAATTGTCTGAATATGAACGTTGCCAAATTTACGATTAACAAGTGGTGTTTCAATAGAAATGGCAAATACTATACTGAAACATATGCATATTTAAAATAATCAGCATTTGTTGAACAAAGTAGTTTATTTTGAAAGACTGTTAGATATACGACATAGTAAACATATTGTAGCAGAATAACAATTTACTAATACACAGTTTATCAGCAAACACTGAAAAATTCTAAAATACATGTGAAAAAAAAACCGAGACTTTAATAATAATAATTTATGTACAAGGTCTACAATAGTATTCAAACTTATATAAAAATCAAACTTATAAACAACATATTGCTGATTTCATTATTGATCAAAATTTCACTAATTAATAACTTAATATTTCCTTCTATTCTTGTTGCTGTTTTAAAAGCTCCTCTAAACTGTATTTTTCCTGTTCTTTTTCTATCTGTTCCTGGAGTAACCGTTCTAAAATGTTTTGGAATCTTTGTCTTAGAGCAATATTTTCAATATTTTCAATTTCCATTTCTTGATGTTGACGCCGCATTTTTAAATCAGCCAATTCCAGTTGCAGTTCATCTAATCTAGCCATAATATTGCTTTTAGTTAAATTCTGTTCACTGTATGATATATTACTGGATGATTGTTGATAGTAGTCCATTTCTTGCATAAGTGAAGGTGAATTTTGTATATCTCGGAACATATCACTAGTAAACTCGGTTAAAAGTTTGGAATTTGCTGCATTCATCATTACTGAATTTGAATCTGTCAAATGACTATCTTCAGCTGAATTTTGACTATTTTCATCCAACTCAAGTACATTTAAATGAGCATCTTCCTCCTCTGAGTCACTCACTGCTCCACCAAAAATGTCATGTTCGGCAACATTTTGATTAGGAACTTCAGCTGGTTCTTTCTTAATAACTGTACCCTTATTAACTTTATTTTCATCGTCTTCATTAATTACTTCCCATTTAACACTGACAGCATCATTATCTATTCGAAGTAATCTTTTAACTTCTTTTTCTATTTCTGGAGCTTCCACATATTTCTTTTTTAGAGTTTTTCTAAATCTCCTCTTCCTTACATTTTTTGCAGGGGGTGTTACTCCATGCGGCATTAAGTATTTCTTTTCCACTTTATTTGGATCTTTTCTTTTTGTTTTCTGTGGAGAATCCTCATCTGTAGTAGCTTGATCATCTTCTTCTTTACATATTAACATCTGACAAATGTCAGCAGTTTTATAAAAACCTTTAGAATCAATCGTTTTCAAAGACTCAATAATTGTGGGAAGATCCATTACTTTTGCTGGCAAAAGCCAATGGTCCACTCGTACTTCACCATGTCGCATGTCATTTTCTATTTTGATGGTCAACCGATCTTTTAGAGTGCTGTTGCTTCTAATGGCCTCTCTAAGTGCTCGGCCTGGCTCTTCTGGTAAACGCAAAATAAACTGACATTCAAGTTCAGCAGGTGAATCCGCTTCGTGTCCTTTGTACATGACTAAACATAGAAAAATACATACAAGAGATTTGAAGTATGGATTAAACGGATTATCTCACCTAAAACTGTCAAGAAATCTTTGCTTTATCTGTTACTAAAATACGATATTAAAAACTGCAAGAAGTTATTACGATGGTAATTAATAACAAAATAGTCACGACATAGGACATAAAACACAACAGACTGCTAAAAAACAAGGTTATGTTTTGACTTTTGAGGTCATCAATTGTAGTTTCCTGTAAGGTGAAATATAGAGGTCACCACTTTCCATTAAAAATGTAGGAAACGAATTACGATGAAACATATCCCTGTTTATATTTTACCACAGTGTGACAATAATATGTTTGGTGGCGCCCCCTTAGCAGAATGAAATAAATCCGTGATAAATCAAACAAACTTACCACCACCAAACGTTTTCCTTTTTTGTCAGCAAGTTCACCCTATACATTTCTTTATTTATACTGTTTTATATTTTATGAATACTGCCTCATTTTTTATGGAAACTGTAAAATGAAAATTGATATTTGCGTTTTTATTCAATTTTGACATTTTAAACGTCAATTATTGACTTCATAGCAACTGTGACAAGTGATTCTTTAATCATTAGTGAATAAAAAAAAATTAAATCACTGAATCATAATATTTTTATTTATTAACTGGCTGACCCAGTGAACTTCGTTTCACCTACAATTTAATTTTGAATCTGCAAAACCGAATGCTTTGAAAACTTGCAGATGTTTTAAACATATGATAAGCATAATAAATGTTTATTCAATTATTATTATCCTCTCCAAAAAATTGATGACGTCAGCCTAAAATTTGCCAAATGAATCCTATCTAAAATGTCCAAAATAGGATGAGTCTATACTTGTGATTTATTATTCTATTCATATTTTTTAGATTTGCTTATATAGGGTGACTCAAAAAAATTAATGAATGAATGAATTAATTTTATTGATTTAATCAGGAACTGCAAAACCGAATGTTCTGAAATCTTGGAGATGCTTTAATGTTATCATAAGCATGGTAATTTTTTGATTAAAACGTATTTGTTCATTCTCCCTAAAAAATTGATGACGTCACCTGAAAATTTTGCTGAATAAATCCTATCTGAAATGTGGAAAATATGGTGAGTTTTTACTTGTGATTTATCACTGCATTAATATTTTTTTAGTTTTGCTTAAACGGGGTGTCCCAAAACAATTAATCACTGGGTCAATTTATTTTATTGACTGAATCAAGAATTGCAAAACTGAATATTTTGAAATATTGCAGACGTTTTGAAGTTACTGTAAGCATGGTAGCTTTTCAAAATATATCTGTTTATCAAGCCCAAAAACTTGATGACGTCATCTCAAAATTTTGCCGAATAAATCCTATCTAAAATCTGCAAAATATCATCAGTATATATTCGTAATTTATCATTGCATTCATATTTTTACTTCCCGAGCGTAAGCAAAGGAAGTATTGTAATCGAGTCCGTCGGCCGACTCTCTACTTTTACCTTTTCTCGATCTTTCATGATCCCTAGAAGACGAAGAAATAGGTCTCCATTTCCGTCTGTCTGTCCGTCTGTCCGTATGTTCGTCTCTCTGCCATCCCGGATTTTTATTAGACAGATAATCTCCGAAAGACTGGACCGATTGTTGTGAAATTTTGTACTTATATTAGGAATATTATGTACATGGTAAAACGCTAACCAAAATTTGTCTAATCATCCCCACCACTAATGCGATGACGTCACTTCAAAATTGTACATAGTAAATCGGTTTTAAATTGTATAAAATAACATAGTGTTTTACGACTCCGAATTGAGTTTCTACCCGAAACGTCCAGATTTTTGGAAAAAAATCAAAATTATAAAACAACATTTTGAAATTTAATTTTGAATCTGCTAACCTGAATGTTTTGAAATGTTGCAGATGTTTTAAGGCTATAAAGAGCATCATAAACCTTTAGTCAAAATATATTTGGTTATCCCCTCCAAAAACTTGATGACGTCAGTTCAAAAGTTTGTCGAATAAATCCTATCTAGAATGTGCAAAATATGATGAGTATATACTTGATATATCACTCCATTAATATTTTTTTGGATTTGCATATACAGGGTGACTCAAAAAAATTAATGAATGAGTAAATGTATTTTACTGATTTACTCAGGAATTACAAAACCGAATGCTTTGAAATCTTAAAGATGTTTTAAAATTATCATAAACATGATAAATTTTTTATCAAAATGTATTTGGTCGTCCCCCCTAAAAAAATTTATGACGTCACCACAAAATTTTGTTGAATAAATTCTACCTAAAATGTACAAAATATGGTGAGTTTCTTCTTGTGATTTATCATTCCATTCAAATTTTTTCGTTTTCCATATACAGGGTGACTCAAAGAAATTAATGAACGCGTGAATTTATTTTATTGAGTTAATCAGGAACAACAAAACCGAATGCTTTGAAATCTTGCAGATGTTTTAAGGTTATAAAGAGCATAATAAATGTTTAGTCAAAATATATTTGCTTATCCCCTCAAAAAAATTGATGACGTCAGCTCGAAAGTTTGTCGAATAAATCCTATCTAAGCTGTACAAAATATGATGAGTCTGTACTTGTTATTTATCACTCCATTCATATTTTTAGGATTTGTATATACAGGGTGACTCAAAAAAATTAATGAATGGGTAAATTTATTTTATTGATTTACTCAGGAACTACAAAACCGAATGCTTTGAAATTTTGATGATTCTTTAAAGTTGTCATAAGCCTGGTAAGTTTTTGATCAAAATGTATTTGCTCATCTCCCCTAAAAAATTTATGACATCACCACAAAATTTCGCTGAATAAATCCTATCTAAAATGTACAAAATATGATGAGTCTCGCCTTGTGATTTATCATTCCATTCATATTTTTTAGATTTGCATATACAGGGTGACCCACAAAAATTAATGAATGCGTAAATATATTTTATTGATTTAATCAGGAACTACAGAACCGAATGTTTTGAAATCTTGCAAATGTTTTAAGGTTATAAAGAGCATAATAAATTTTTAGTCAAAATATATGTGGTTATCTTCTCCAAAAAACTGATGACGTGAGCTCAAAAGTTTACCGAATAAATCCTATCAAGAATATACAAAATATGATGAGTCTGTATTTGTAATTTATCATTCCATTCACATTTTTTGAATTTGCATATATCGGGTGACTCAAAAAAAAAATGAATGCGTAAATTTGTTTTATTGGTTTACTCAGGAACTACAAAACCGAATGCTTTGAAATCCACTGCGAAAAAAAAACATAATAGACATGCAGTCGTCACGTTTCCGACAGCGAGGGAAGTACTGTCTAAACTCTTTAGACCAATTTTTTAGATTTGCTTTTACAGTGACTTAAAAAAATATATGGATCAGTCAATTTATTTTATTGAATAACTCAAGAGTTGCAGAAATGAATACTTTGAGATCTTGCAGACGTTTTAAAGTTATTGTAAGCATGGTAAATTGTTAATCATTAAAAATTGATGGGACGGCTCACTCGATTTTCGCAGATAATTTTGGAGATACAATACAGTTATTTTTAGTATTAGTTACACTGCACCAATCCAAGGTGATACACGTCTTGATTGTAAATGTTGATTTGGTCATCACAAAATTGTGTGAAGAAAAGACGCAACTTGAAAATGCTGAATATGTTACATTATACTTTTGGTGCGAAGGAAGTTCTATCGAAAAAACGTTCGATCAGTTGTTTGACAATGGTTGATATAAATAAAACTCAGTAGATAATCATACTCGAAATACGAAGTATCTACTCGAATATCAAATCAAAATATTTCTAGTTTTTCTAGATGATGCAAATAGGTAACACTTGATGCTCAAGTAACATCTCGATACAACAAAAAAGGAAAAGAGTGACAGTGTTCAACCATCAAGCCAAAAATCGGGTCACCAAAATATAAGTCAGTATGGGGTAGACACCTTGATATGGGAATCTCTATGGCCAGTGTTAGAAAAAACGTACTGCACAATTTATGCATAAATAAAAGTTAATTACCTGAAAAGTTTTCGATATTCCCGCTGCTAATGTTTTTTCAAACTGAATGCACCTTTTGACGACGCTCCACGGTCATGAAAGTATCCATGTTTAGTCAAAATTCACTTTTACAACGATCCTACTCGTTTTCTAAGCTGCTTTACAGACAGTTCAGTCATTTGCCATGCCGATGCTCATTTTTAGATTAAATGCTCACAAAACGCGTAGGTAGATGTTCAATTTGTGTCCGGGGAGATACAATGTTTCCAAGTAGGTACTCAGTACATAGAGTAGATGCTCAGGTATATAAGATTATTACTCTTTCTAGGTACTTCGTACTTCGAATATGAGTATCTACTCACTTTTATTCATACCACCCAATGTCTCGCTTCAATGTTTGATTATGTTGATTATGAGCACAACGCTAATCAACTTCCGTATCCGAATTACCCATGAAATAAATCATTGCGGTTTGTACCTGAGGTAGTTCGTCGCACATTTCATTGACTTCGTGGACCTATGTCAGCTTGTCGTCTTCTCGGCGTTGTAATGAACTTCATAAAACGACACAGAATTATTTTCGCAGTCAATCAAATCTGTAAATTTTGTCTTGAGAATTTTAAAATACTGAAAACTTCAAATCAAATCCTCGAATAACGGTAAAGTTTGAGGTTTTGTCGAAACCAACAAAGTGAACACAGGTAAATAGAATGGCAGATCAAAATTAATAAGAAACTTTCGCAATGCGTAACTGAATTCACTTTAACGAACACTTTTCTTGAAATAAACGACGTTTTTTGTTACGAAAAAACAAACAACGACTTGAAATGCAATAATACTTTTCACAATCGCACGGAAGAAATAGTTTTGTGTGACACGTCAGTCAGGAATGGCCAACTATTCAAATTCATTGGAAGTGGCGATTCCCGTGCAAAATTTTTAAATTTTTTTTTATCTTTTAGCCGTCTCATTTTTTATAAATATTCTTACATATAAACCTTCTCCTGACGATGAGGAACACGTAAAAAAAAGAATCGTCCAATTCGGTGCAGTCGTTCTCAAGTTATGGGCGTACATACATTTCGGCGATTCATTTTTATTAATATAGATGTATTAATTTTATAATAATAATAGAATAATACATAGGTAGTTAGGTACGTAACAATGCTAACAACTATTG